CGGGGCACGCGGGCAGTGACGGATGGGTCAGGAACGCACGAGGGGCGAGGACAGCTATGGGGAGAAATCGTCACCGAGGCAAAGCACGCGCTGGCCACGTCAACTGGGTGCAGGGCGGCCCAGAGAGACCCCGCCGAGGAAGGAAAGCAGCCAGCAGTTAGGACAGGAAAGCCACCATTACATTCACAGCGTTCATAAACTCTTACTGTCAGCCAGCGAGTACCTTAATGAACGTTTCCATATTGCCGTTAAAGAGTTTATGATTATAGACTGAGAGAGGCCTAGGTCTCCTCATTTTCTGTGGCTTAGGGGGAAGACATGGGGGCCTGGGAGAAAATGGAACAAAAGAAATCAACAAAACACCAACATAAATGCAATGACAGGGTGAGATCTCAAAGGTTATGACCAAGAATAAGAAATAAATCAAACAGAAAAATCCCCCTGTGAGGACTCGACACACAGCTCCACGCACGCTGCAGGGTCCCCGCTGCTGAGTCCCCCCTCCAGGGACACCGCTCCGCTGGGGGACCGGCACAGAGCTGGGGGACCGGCACAGAGCTGGGCTCCACACCTCCGCATGGCCCGCGGCTCCTGGGGACGTGCCCTCCGCTTGCTCCCAAGCCCCTTCCAGCAGCCTGGGGCGGGCTACCCTAGCACGAACCTGGCTAGCCAACCCGTTTTGGAGCCAGTGCCACAACAGCGTCATTTCCCAGGTCCCAAAGGCCAGGCTGAGCCCGGGTGCAGCTGGCAGGCGTCTGACCAGGCAGCAGAGCTAACCTGCACACAGCCCGGAGCAAAACCCGAGCTGCTCACTACATGCTGCACGCATAATTTCAAGTCAAGGTCAGACTGCAGCCTTTATTTAAGTAATAAATTCAAATTAATCTTGACAACAGAAACATTTAACAGCAATAAGCCAACCTACCCATTACTTGCCATCCCCATGATCTTCCAGTATTCCCTACCAGACAGACTCTAACCTCAGCTGCAGCCACACACGGCAATCTATCTATCTGTTGCTACGGGCTTCCTGAGGAGTCAGAGCTTCTACCGTAAAAACCAGACATCTTCAGAAATCAGAGAGTGACAGAGCAGTAACTACACCATCAGCCACCGCCTGAATGAGCAATGGGTGATCAGGAATGCTCTTCAGGCACAACTTGCTTCATTCCAGCCAGAGAGCAGTAACGCTGCTCAACACAGCTGGTCACGGCTGCCTTCGGTACCCACGCTCTGCAGATGCAACTCTCCCCCTCCGAGATGCCAACATCAGGACTGCTGCTCAGACTGTGCTAGTACCAGGGATGAGGGTAGGGTTGGACTAGATGTAAGGAAGACGTTTTTTACGCCGAGGGTGGTGAGGCACTGGTACAGGATGCCCAGGGAGGTGGTGGATGCCCCATCCCTGGGAACATTCAAGGCCAGCTTGGACAGGGCTTTGGGCAGCCTGGTCTGGTGGAAGGTGTCCCTGCTCCTGCAGGGGGTTGGACTAGATGGCCTCTGAAGGTCCCTTCCAACCCAAACCATTCCATGATTCTACGATGACACTGCAGAAGTACAACGAAGGCACTGTGCTCAGTAGGATTTTTAACACCTGCCTCTCATCTCCATGGCATGGCCCTGGCCCTACTGGCTGGTGACTGAGGGTCCTCATCAGGCACGGGGAGCAGGCCCTGAAGACCCCATTGGCTTTAGAAAGGGTGGCAGACACCTACTGCTTCTGGAAATGAGGCCATGGAAGTGTGTGGCTTATTTTAGTGCCGTGATCAGGACTTTGGAGGGCTGCTTGCATTAACGCTATGCACATTTTGATTTCTTCTTCTGATAATGAAGGACATTGAGACCCAACTGCCTAGATCTAGAAAAGGGAGAAAACCAGCATAAAATCCCAAACCGATTTCTGATCCGCCCTCTGCCCCCAGGCTACAGGGCTGCCTGTAGAGGAGGGATCACGACTGCAAACAAAGATGCGTGCTAGGAGCCTTCATACAAAAGCTCTCACAAAGCAGAGCCACATGCACGCATACAACTCGCACAGAGCCATGATGCAAAGGTGACAGTCGTGATCTGCTGGCTCCTTAATCACATGCCTTTAATTAAGCAATTTGACTCCACCCTCCTACGGCTTCTAACCACTCCTTCAGGTGGTGACCGAGGAGCAGAAGCAACTGCTGCCCCTGGAGGTGCCCGCCTGAGGGCCAGGCTGCCCTGTCACAGCCCCGCTGCTCTTCGCTGCCGTGTCACCTCCTCTCCCGGGGGACGCCCTGGTGCGGGCGGCCTGGCCTCGGCTGTATCTGGTGGGGAGGTTGTTCTGCCCACGCTTACAGCGCCGCCTCGCACACGGCGGAGATCGGCTCGTGTTTGTTTTCCTTTGGGAACTCCAAGCAACCGCTGAACAAAAGCGGCCAGGAGCAGCGGGGAGCTGTGCCACCACCCCTGGCGCAGGAGGCTGTTCCTCTTCCCTCCGATTGTCCTGGCCTGCGCCAC